GTGGGGACATACAATTCAGTCCCATTCAAATTCCTATTTACCTTAAACCTAAATCTTAACCTAACCCTAACCCTTATCCTAAGCCTAACTCTAACCTTAAACCCCCTAGAAATAGCATTTGACCTACATACACACACACACACACACACACACACACATACAGACACACACACACACAAACTCTTGCGCACACTCACACGTGCACACGTGCACGCACACACACACACTCACACACAAGAAGAAAAAAAACACAGAACGGGGAGCAAACAGATCAATTAGCCATCAATGATTCAATGGAGGCCATGTCATTAAAAACACACACACACACACACACACTAACCTGCAGAGTTTTGTTGCTACACTAAAGATACCCTTAAGAAAAATATAGTTTACTTAACTAAAGTTACTTTGAAATAGTAGTTCACTACATCCAAACTACTTAGTGATAAATGATCATATCTAAATCTGAAAAGTCATAGACTACAAACAAATCACTCTAGAGTCAGATGTAAAGAGAATGTGTCATTTAGCCTATTCAAAACAAAAACTATGTTTCAAGTGAGAATTAGGCAGGTCTGATGCCGAAAAAGAATGGACATTCTTGCCTACTTTATTTTATTTTGGCCAAAAAGGTAGTGTGTAGTTCCAGTAGTTAACTACCCTGCTACATGGCAAAAACTTACTGAAAACACTACCAAGATTTGAATTTAGCTCAACTACCACCAAGCTACTGCAAAATGCAGTTAAAGTACAATTTGAACTACATGAAGTTCGCTATTCCCCAACACTGGTATTCACATTTTTTTTTCTCACCTTTATTTAACCAGGTAAGCCAGTTGAGAACAAGTTCTCATTTACAACTGCGACCTGGCCAAGATAAAGCAAAGCAGTGCGATAAAAACAACAGCACAGAGTTACATATGGGGTAAACAAAACAAAAAGTCAAAAATACAACAGAAAATATATATACAGTGTGTGCGAATGTAGTAAGTTATGGAGGTAAGGCAATAAATAGGCCATAGTGCAAAATAATTACAATTTCGTATTAACACTGGAATGATAGATGTGCAAAAGATGATGTGCAAATAGAGATACTGGGGTGCAAATTAGCAAAATAAATAACAATATGGGGATGAGGTAGTTGGGTGGGCTAATTTCAGAATGGCTGTGTACAGGTGCAGTGATTGGTAAGCTGCTCTGACAACTGATGCTTAAAGTTAGTGAGGGAGATAAGAGTCTCCAGCTTCAGAGATTTTTGCAGTTCGTTCCAGTCATTGGCAGCAGAGAACTGGAAGGAATGGCGGCCAAAGGAGGTGTTGGCTTTGGGGATGGTGTGGTATGTGTGTGCAGTGTGTGTGCACATGGGATGTGTGTGTGTGTGTGTTTGTGTTTGTGTTTGTGTGTGTGTGTGTGTGTGTGTCCGCCGAAGATGTGTGTGTGTTGGATTTGATGAGATGTCGGGGACTGAGCTCAGTCCTATGTGGACCTTACTGTACAGCTAATCCCTGACTCTGGTTCCAACTCACTGACTGTCTGCATCTCTCTCACTCGCTAAGTCGCTCTCTCTCTCTCTATACACCTATTTCTCTTTCTCTACAGCTCTTTCTCGCTACACCTCTTTCTCTCTCTCTCTCTCTCCACCCCTCTCTTTCTCTCTATCTTTCCATCTCTTTCTGTCTCACTTTCTCTCTTTGAATCCAAGTCCACCAAAGTGAGTTAGGGCGAGAGATCGAGAGAGTAGAGGGCATTTTCTCCGAGTAGAGATAGGAGCGAGGATGACAGTGACGACGTATCCAGCGAAGTAGAGAAGCACCTTCGAGTAGGAGCTGAGATAGAGGAAGTAGAGGAGGATCGGAGAGGAGAGGAGAGCAAGAGACGGGACAGAGTAGACGGAGGAGACGAGATGAGGGAAGAGAGGAAGGGGAGGAGAGAGAGAAGAGAGAGGAGGAGAGAGAGAGAGAGAGAGCTTCCGTCCAGTCCTCTTCCCCAATGAACCATTTCTGCATCTCCAGGGAGTTCCAAGGGACTGAAAGCTCCAAAGTCTCATAATTCTTGCAGAACTCAAGATTTCTGTGCACAAATGCCTCTTCTATATCTGAGAACACGGACACATACACAGGGGTTTTAGTACCATCGTAGAAGACTGGCGTTCCCTCATTAAAATGCAAATCAATTTATAACATTTTTGACATGCGTTTTTCTGGATTGTTTTGTTGTTATTCTGTCTCTCACTGTTCAAATAAACCTATCATTAAAATTATAGACTGATCATTTCTTTGTCAGTGGGCAAACGTACAAAATACTTTTTTTCCTCACTGTATTTTACCCATTTAGTATGATATATTACATTTGACTGCTTTAGTATTATATTTTATGTTTGATATGGTTACATAAGACAGTAGGATACGTAAGGCAAAAACGAAAAAAGGGTGGTTGGAGGGTGGTTGGTTGCACATGGCGTCTACTGTTACCAACCCAAAGGTTGCATGTTTGAATCTCATCACGGACAGCTTTAGCTAATTAGCAACTTTGCAACTACTTACTACTTTTTAGCTACTATGCAACTACTTAGCATGTTAGCTAACACTTCTCCTAACCCTAACCTTAACCTTAACCCCTAACCCCTAACCTATTGTAGCACATCATACTAAAGCAGTCGAACATAGCATATCATAATAAAGCAGTCGAACGTAATATATCACTAAACAGGTCAAAGCAAACTGGTGCAATCAAAATGTAGGATACTATACGTCCTACAATTCATAATAATTGTGTGACCGCTATTACATTTGTAGAGAGCGAGAGAGAGAGAGAGAGAGAGAGAGAGAGAGAGAAGAGGTAGAGAGAAAGAGAGCAGAGGAGGGCCATACAGAAAAGATACAGCACAGAGGAGCAAAGAGAGTAGGAGGAGAGTTAGAGGAGAGTAGAGGAGGAAGGAGAGGAGGAGTAGATGCAGGATTCTATGCGCGGATAGTATATGCTATTATAGGATAGGATAGGATGCAGATGAGAAGCTTCTGCTAAAGATGTTCCCTCCTGTCCCGACTAGTCCAAGTGATTAATGACTTTCTCTCTCTCTCTCTCTCTCGCTCTCTTCTCTGTTTTAGCATAGTGGACACTGCCCCTCTGAGAGTAGTTGGAGTGAGCTGTGGTGTTTTGGTGTGTAAGGCTGCCATCTAGAGGTACAGTAATTGTAAGAACACCATTGTTATTCAAGGCCATCTCTCTCTCTCCAAAATATCCGCCCAGAATTTGAGATGTATCACTTTGAATGGAGCAGGAACATCCACATCCTACTTTACCCACACACATACACACACACACACACACACACACACACACACACAACACACACACACACACAAACACACACACACACCACACACACACCACACACATACACACACACACACACACACACACACACATACAGAAACACACACACACACAAATACACACACACAGCCTCCCCCATGCACCCTTAACTGAATAAATACTCCTCCCCCCTCCCCTCTCTCTGAAATATAAATGAATACACTTCCCACATTGCTTTTCCCAAAACAACTTTTCTATTTCCTCTCTCTACTTTATTTTGTGTCCAGACTGAGTCCCTAAGTAGGAAGTAGCTCCCAAAGTTCCTGTGGGGTCCTGGGAATCAGCTCTGTGTAACATGAATAGTAAAGTCATTTCCTGGACGTGTGTTGTAGTGTTTTCTTATAGATACGAGAGGCAGAGTATAATTAATTTTAGTGCTCCATAAACAGTGGCCTTCTTAGTATTTATCACATGGAGGTGCTATAAAACAAAACCTGTCAGGTCATAACTGCAGAGCCTATCACTGGATAGAGGGTGCATCGCAATAGTCTGACGTGATTTCCTCCCCTCGCTCTCCTTGTCTCCCCTTCTCCCCTTCTTCTTATGCATTGAAGGAGACTGAATTGGCTTCCTCTCCTCCTCTCCTCGTCTCCTCTCATTCCTCTGCACCAATGTGGAAGATCTGTTCTATTGGGGGCAAACACCTGATAGGTAAACATTGTTACGCTGCTTTCGTCTATTCAGACTATTGATACGCAGCCAGAGTTCACCAAAAGGCCACCCACTATTCCGTAGATAGATAGTGTTATCAAGTCAGCTTGTTGCGCATTGTAAACACATGAGCCAAAATGCTATTATGATCAATGAACACATTTATCTTTTTCTGGGCTTTTCTAGTAGCCCCAGCCTCATTATGAGATATCATTCATTTGGACTAATTTTGCAATGAAATGCAAGGACACCTTGGAAAATGGAATATCATTTTGGGGATGTTTATGAGTTTGGCAAAGAGGATTAGCTGGCTTACTCTGCGTGCTAAATATATTTCTGCTGTAGCCAACTTTGTGGTGTGAAACAGAATGCTACCCTTTATAGCTTAAATGATCAATTCATCATCTTCAAAGTTTCTCGACATTGAATGAGAACAGTGTGAGTTACACAGTAAACCTACTCCTCCTTCTATTGATCCTAATGATCCACTGTATTGGCCTACAGCTCCTATCTGTCTGTACCTGGGGACACAGTTATGACACCTGATAGGAGTTACATGACAGCGAGGTAGAGAGAGTAGGAAAGAAGATTGACAGACAAAATCAACCTATGGCGAGAGTACAGGCTGGACAGAAAGAGACACAGAGAGACAGACAGGCAGACAGAAGGAGGTATGCAGATACAGAGGGAGAGAGAGAGAGAGAGAGGCGAGAGAAGAGAGGGGAAAGAGCTGGGGATGAGGAGTGGTAGAGATAGTGAGAGATAGAGATGAGATAGAGATAGGAGATAGATAGAGAAGAGCCTTAGATATATTATTTGCTATCAGTCCCTTTAATCCTTGACTAAAGACAACCAGTGAGGGACCAGGAAGTGTAACAAGGAGACAGTTGTACCCCATCTACAGAGCTCTGATTAGCAGGCTGGGTCACCCTCTACAGAGGAGACTTCTGGAAGTCAGTGGAGGGGAACCAGATATGCCGGTGGTGCAGGATATGTCAGTGCACCATGGAGGTCCACAGAGGCAGACTCCAGAGTGTGTCCCCCCCAAGGTGTTGTCTCACTCCATTGAGCGGATCCTGAGGAGAGTGCCGTGTCTGGAGGGGGAGGAGAGGGGGAGAGGAGGAGAAGAGGAGAGAGGGAGCATGGCGGGAGAGACGGGGTCTGTGTGTGTGAAGACCAGCGCTGAGCAAGAGCCTAAAGTCAACAGATGCCCAGGTGTGTTTAGTCAGTGGTTCCAACGGCTCAGTGTGTTGGAGCATGCTGTGGATTTGATTAACTGTATCAAAGTATCTGCTATATGACCCTATTAGTAGCAGTGGAAAACGTTATAAACTGTATTTCAATGAAGGAAGATCAATAGATAAGGACATTATATATTCAATAGTGTAGATTGTGTTTCTTGTGATATAGCCTTCTAAACTGTAGAGTTTAACTCAGAGGATGGAAACAGTATTGAATGAGGAACGAGTGCTTGATATTTTATTTGAAGAAGGTTTAAGTTTGTTCTGGCTAAGTGTTTCTATCCTCTCAGGTGTACTAAAGCTCAGCTACTGCAGAGCCAAGAGTCAGAGGTTGTTTTATGGTTTCGTGCTTTTTTCTACCCTTTTGAATGGTGGTGCTTTGATGTTGATTTTCAAAAACGTCTCGTTAGTGGTTCATAAACGCTCAACACTCCATCTTTTCTAAAAGCTGCTCAGGGAATTGGATTACTTCAAATTCCATTCTGGAAGAAAATGAAAAACCGACAATAAACAAAACAATTATGATCAAAAATACACTTGAAACATGGTAATGGGAATAACTGTATAGCTATGGGTTGTTTTAACCTTTCCTTAAGGAAAAACCATTTTCTGCAAGTATGTTACCCCCTATACATTTAGTGCACAAATAATAACTTATTTTCTGTCATAACAGTTTCTGTAACTGTCAAGGTCTAATTGTATTGTATTGTATTTGGATAGTTACCTGTAAATAGATTTAAAGTGCCATATTAAGCTAAATGGCCAAACACATTTACAGAGTTTGCCAAATATCTGCTTTCCATTTAGAAAGCAATAAATTGTGTGTGTGTGTGTGTGTGTTTTGTTTGGAGTAGTGTCGCGGAGCAGCGGTCGGCGGGTACGAACCACATTCACCTCAGCCCAACTAGAGGTGCTAGAGAAGACCTTCCAGGAGAGCCAATACCCTGACATATATACCAGAGAACTACTGGCTTCCCAAACACAGTTGTCAGAGGTACGAGTACAGGTAGGTACTGTGTGTGTGTGTGTGTGTGTGTTTGCGTAAGTGCGTGTGCATGCATTTCTATGTGTTTGGTTGGTTTCCTGATGGAAATGTCTGCTGTGTGTTGTCATCCTGACCCAGATATGGTTCCAGAACCGCCGGGCCAAGTGGAGGAAGACTGGAGCTCTGGGAAAGAGCAGAGGATTGGTCAAACTCTCAGACACCGACCAACAGCCTGAGAGGATGGTGCCGCTTCCTCCCCTGATTGGATCCCTCCAAACCAGGCCACACCCACTACGGCACAGGCTCTTCCTCTACAAGCTATCCTACCATCCCATTGGTGTTTACCAGCACTTCCTGCCCAAGCTCCACCCAGCCCTGGTACCCTACTCTGAGCCCTACCTGCTTCCCCTGCCAGCCCAGCCCTGGTTGACCCCAATGACACATGCCATACCTGGACACACACTCAGCTGACAGACACACAAAAACCACACACCGGATGTCTTGTATGTCAAGTATGTCTGTCCCTGTAAATATGTATTTTCTGTACATAGAACAATTCTACTCATACAGAAATCTGCTATTTTGATTAATTTCATACAAAGTATCATAAATAAAGGTCTTCAGTCTGAGCATGATTAGCTGAATCAGGTGTTTTTGTAGGGCTGGAATGAAACACCCAGTATCTCTCCAGGACCAGAGCTGGAGAGTTGGAGACCCATGTCCCAGACTGATCCTGGGTTCTCTGGGATTCTGAGAAACACTCTGACTCAGTCATTATCATCAGAGTGTTACGTCACTTCCAGAGAGGAGGGCAGGTGGTGTTTGTAGAGTCAACCATGTAGTTCCTTGAATCTGAGAAGTCCTCTCCAAGACTAAAGTCATTTATGTGATATGATTAATAGGACAATGTTCTAGAGTCTTTAAACAATGAACATTTATGGGTGACGATTGCCAAGGAAACCATTATACACTGCTAAACAAAATAAAGGGAACACTTAAACAACACAATGTAACTCCAAGTCAATCACACTTCTGTGAAATCAAACTGTCCACTTAGGAAGCAACACTGATTGACAATAGATTTCACATGCTGTTGTGCAAATGGAATAGACAACAGGTGGAAATTATAGGCAATTAGCAAGACACCCAAAATAAAGGACTGGTTTTGCAGGTGGTGACCACAGACCACTTCTCAGTTCCTATGCTTCCTGGCTGATGTTTTGGTCACTTTTGAATGCTGGCGGTGCTTTCACTCTAGTGGTAGAATGAGACGGAGTCTACAACCCACACAAGTGGCTCAGGTAGTGCAGCTCATCCAGGATGGCACATCAATGCGAGCTGTGGCAAGAAGGTTTGCTGTGTCTGTCAGCGTAGTGTCCAGAGCATGGAGGCACTACCAGGAGACAGGCTAGTACATCAGGAGACGTGGAGGAGGCCGTAGGAGGGCAACAACCCAGCAGCAGGACCGCTACCTCCGCCTTTGTGCAGAAACAGACTCCATGAGGGTGGTATGAGGGCCCGACGTCCACAGGTGGGGGTTGTGCTTACAGCCCAACACCGTGCAGAACATTTGGCATTTGCCAGAGAACACCAAGATTGGCAAATTTGCCACTGGTGCCCTGTGCTCTTCACAGATGAAAGCAGGTTCACACTGAGCACATGTGACAGACGTGACAGAGTCTGGAGACGCCGTGGAGAACGTTCTGCTGCCTGCAACATCCTCCAGCATGACCGGTTTGGCGGTGGGTCAGTCATGGTGTGGGTGGCATTTCTTTGGGGGGCTGCACAGCCCTCCATGTGCTCGCCAGAGGTAGCCTGACTGCCATTAGGTACCGAGATGAGATCCTCAGACCCCTTGTGAGACCATATGCTGGTGCGGTTGGCCCTGGGTTCCTCCTAATGCAAGACAATGCTAGACCTCATGTGGCTGGAGTGTGTCAGCAGTTCCTGCAAGAGGAAGGCATTGATGCTATGGACTGGCCCGCCCGTTCCCCAGACCTGAATCCAATTGAGCACATCTGGGACATCATGTCTCGCTCCATCCACCAACGCCACGTTGCACCACAGACTGTCCAGGAGTTGGCGGATGCTTTAGTCCAGGTCTGGGAGGAGATCCCTCAGGAGACCATCCGCCACCTCATCAGGAGCATGCCCAGGCGTTGTAGGGAGGTCATACAGGCACGTGGAGGCCACACACACTACTGAGCCTCATTTTGACTTGTTTTAAGGACATTACATCAAAGTTGGATCAGCCTGTAGTGTGGTTTTCCACTTTAATTTTGAGGGTGACTCCAAATCCAGACCTCCATGAGTTGATAAATTTGATTTCCATTGATAATTTTTGTGTGATTTTGTTGTCAGCACATTCAACTATGTAAAGAAAAAAGTATTTAATAAGATTATTTCATTCATTCAGATCTAGGATGTGTTATTTTAGTGTTCCCTTTATTTTTTTGAGCAGTGTATATTCTCATGATGTATTTCTAGTAGAAACTCAATAAATTACATGTAGCCTACACATATAGTGCCAGGGTTTGAGAGAACAAAGGAGAGAGAAAGAAAGAGAGGGGGGAGAGAGAGGAGGAGAGAGGAGAGGAGAGAGAGACGAGGAAGAGGAGAGAGAGATGAGAGAGACGAGAGAGAGAGATTTTTTTGGAGAGAGAGAGAGAGAGAGAGAGAGGAGAGAGGGAGAGAGAGGGTTATTTCAGACGATATGGGGCCTATAAACAGGATATTGCGTTGAGATTTCAGATTATTACTCAATTGTTTTATTGCACTCTAAATAATATGGTACTACCTTATCTTAATTCACCTGGGGTGAATCTGAGGGCAGGGCAGGTTTACAGTCATCATCTGAGACAGACGCACACACACACACACACACACACACACACAACCAGGTGTAGAGTCATATTTATTTTATTGTAAGATGGTTCAATGTTTCAGTGTTGCAGACAGAAATATAGTAGATCAGTATATCTCAATAGATCTCTTCAATTAGATCTCTGAGCATTATGTTTTTAACTGCAAAGTTCTGGATATGTCATCCCAACTGAACACATGATCATCTAAATGTTTCTCAACTCCAGTCCTAGGGAAACAACTGGTCAATGGCTTGATGATTAGTTGATTAACTGAATCGGGTGTGTCAGAGTCAATGAATGGGCTGGAGTAAACCTGTGGGACCTCAGGACTGGTGTTGAGAAACCCCGATCTAAATATTTCAGTGAGGTGCTTTGTTCCATCCTTCACCTGACCACGTTAGTGTAGCTGTAGCCTATTTAAGACGGTGCTCTTGCCTTGACTCAACAACACTTCTTCCATCTGCTGAACTTTTGACTCCTGCCTCTTATCTGCCTTTACAGGCGCTTAGCATTTCGGTGAACCCTGTGTTATAACAGTCTTATCAGACGAGCTCAAATGTGTCCCCGTCCCCAGGCTAACGTTAGAACACACACACTCCAGTTTGGCCAAAGGCTGGCAGATTTTTGTGGGTGTTATAGAATTTTCCAAGAATCTGTTTGGTGTGTTTTTCCGAAATGCCTGAAGTGCTGAGCTTTAACCAATGTCCAAAGATCAAAGTCATGCATTCCAAATGGAGGAACGTTTCATTTTTATTTCACACTTCTGTATAACTGGTTTATTATGGTGTGACCAGTGAGTGGTACACTGTGTATATTTATATTAATGTATTGATTTATTTTTAAATAAGATGTGCTTGTTGCTAAATCACTTCATTTTCAAATGTATATTAGGAAACAATAAAAGTAGCTAATTGACAGAAGTAGGCTACTTAAAGCTTATCAACATTTCAAAGATGGATAATTCAAACTCATATTTGAAAATAAATTGGACTTTATATATTTTGATGAGCCTGGCATGTATGTCCTCTTGTGGTTCAATAAGGGTATCACGGCTGTGACACCTAATTGCTGTTCCTGGTTTGAACAGGTGATGGTGATGTAGGACTTAGAATAGGCTAAAGTAGAGATGCTATCTCCACTTTTGCATCCTATCCTGACTCGAACATGAAATTGTTTCCTGTCAGCTTTCTCACTATGATTTGTATTAGTGGCCTATCTGGAGCAACTTATAAATAAACATCATAGGGGCATTGCAGTTGACACGTCAGGACCTAGCCTAAAATACACCGGGGGTTCCTATAGGGACCATATATAGGGATTATATTGGGATCAGGGGTCCTTGGGTGAAAAGTATTGGGAACCCCTGGTGTAGGGGAATGGTATAACACAAATGATTAGGCCTATAGCTTTCTTGCCACCTTAGTTTATTAATAATCCGTGATCACCAAGGGTGAAAATAAGGGTGTAAAAGCAACAGATGTCATCATCAACATAAACATGGTCCTCCTTGTCTGTGGACCAACCCAGCGTGACGGGCAGTATCCATACTGTACAGCAGAGGGAGAGATGAGCTGGTGAATGTTCGACGTCACAGCCACAGGCAGCAGAAGGATGGGCGAGAGTTGTGTGTACCTTGCCGCTGCTTCATGGCAATAGAGAGAGATGGCGTCCGCATCCCGATGAATAAGCAAAAAAAGAAGAGGAAAAAGGATGATGCTGGACCCTACGCTTAGAGGGGAAACCGTTTAATTCAACACATCGGCTATGGAGGAATTCATCTCTCATTCACAATCATTTCACTCCGGGGATGTTAACGCCCTTTTCATGCGTTTTTAAACTCCTCGGCTGATTCCTTCCAACCGAGGAGGTGTGGGATTGTTGTCCGGTAGTCTACATCTGTTTTCTTCCTCCGCTTCTCTGGTCATCCGACGCAGGGGCGAGGAGAAGAGGAGGAGAGAAGGGGAAGAGAGGGAGGGCGATGGCTGCTGGAGGAGGATGCGGGGAGACGGTGGAGCAGTGCCGGGCGGAGGTGGAGCGTTTGACCCGTGAGCTGGCGGAGGCGAACCGGGAGAAGATTCGGGCTGCGGAGTGCGGTCTGGTGGTTCTGGAGGAGAACCAGACCCTGAAGCAGCAATATTCGGATCTAGAGGCCGAGCAAGAGGCGCTCCGACAGGAGCTGGAGCAGCTACAAGAGGTATCAACCACTTAAAACACACTATTAAATAACACCCAAAGTTAACCATAAACATTGGCCCATGTGATATAAGTTAAGTGCTTGCTGGAAATGTATTCGTAAACATGCATTTATTAGTTAGCCTCCAAATCCAACTTCCTTCAGCCCCCAGGCGGGTGGGCTACATCCCCTCCAAGGGATGGGTGATGTCAGCGAGATTTGGGCAGGCCCCCCCGCCTCATCCCCAGAAGTTGGCACCAGTCAGACACCCCACAGCGGGTCTGAGTCTGTCAGAGATACACAGGCCTCAGCAGAGAACTGGGAGGGGACGGCGAGGGCTTTGTTGTCCGAGCAGGGAGTAGCGTAGTAACTTGATGCTATGCGCAAGTCTGACGCGCAGGTATGGGCTTTCCAAGGTGTGCTACTGATGCGCATTTTGGTGCAATGGAATATCATATGTTTGCTGTGGTAGGCTACTTTGCGTGTGTGGATGGGTGTAAACTATGGTTGTTAATTATGTGTCAAATTAGCTTTTGCATGCCTCTTTAAACATATTTTTAAAGAGCTACTGAATTCTGCAATACACTTTAACACCTATGGGGGGAAGTGTTATACATCTATTCAAAAAGTAGGTCTGTGGAACATTGTGTAAGCTATACAGTACTTAGGGAATGGTGTTTTATAGTGGTACTATCTGGCTGGCAGACTTACTAAGTGCTAATTGGCACAGACACATTTGGGTTAGTCATGTCCTGCTCTAAGAGTCACACCTCTCTAAAACAGTGCTCTCTCCTCTCCTCACTCTTCCTCTCCTCTTCCTCTGTCTCTCTCACTCCTCTCCCTGTCCTCTGTTCTTCTCTTTTCTCCTCTCTCGTTCTCCCTCCTCTCCATATCCTTTGTTCTCTGTTCAGAATTGGTGTCTGTCTATCTTCTTCCCCGCATCTTTCTCTCTGATTGTTCCCAGTGAACATGTGTAAATCTGTCAGTATTTGCAAATTCACTAGTTTGATATTAAAACAAAACAACATTATAAAGCAAATCAAGGGCATCATCAAGCCTGATGGAACTTGATTTAACCATAATGCTATATTACTGGTCTAATCAAAGCAAGCCTTTTCACCGTTACACTACATATAATCATAATACATATTTCTCCATCAGACCTGGGTTCAAATACATTTGTATATGAGTATCTGGCATAAAAATATAAAAAGTATGTGTATTTGAGTATTTTCAAATACACAGTACAAAACAAGTACTTTTATTTGAGTATTTCAATAGGTGTTTGGATAAACTAAATAGATGACCAAATACTATTTTCAAATTCCTGGGTAAACACAGTGCATTTGAGGGGAGTGTATTTGAGTCAGTGTATTTGAATTTTTCAAATACTTTCCAAGTTTCCAAATACATTCAAATTACTTGTCTTTTCAAATATATTTTTTGAATACTTACTTCGAATGTATGTAAAAGTAATTGAGATATTTGAAATAGTATTGGAACCCAAGTCTGTTCTCCACTACCATGGTTGATCATTTATTCCTGTTCATTTCAATAATCAATTCTTGCTAATTAGCTACGCTGTGCCAAGGTGTAATTAATCAATAAAACAACTCTGTCGATCTGCAACAAACAGTGTTTTCTTTGCCGTATGGAACCCTATGGCAGTATTAATTCACTAGTTTGTTAGCTATAATACAGACGGTTGTGTCTGTAGGCAGCTGATGATGCATTTACAGTAACTGAAGGTCAGTGTGTGTGTGAGAGAGGACCTGGCATACATTCTGAAGCGTTATTAGATTGGTTTGGACATGGAGTATGGCAGCCAATAATGACGGCATGCCTGTGACTTGTCCTGTCTGCTCTGTATATGTCTTATGCATGGCAACAATAACGCCACACAATGAGACCATTTTAAGACATCTCAGTTTAAACCATGTGTATATAGATGTCAATCAGCTCAGCATTTGCTGTAGGACCCCCATCTTCCACTCTCTATCTCCCCCTCTCTTTCTCCCCCTGCCTCCTGCCTCTCTGTTTTCTGTGCTACTGTAAAGGACATCACACTGCTTGTTGAAAAGCTATCTGTTCACTGGCGCAAGTGGGGACACTTGAGGCTGAGGAGTAAGTTTCACAAATCCTCATTTGCTACACTACCCCCAGTTCTCTCTCTATCTCTCTCTGTCCCCCTTCTCCTCTACTCCACCCTCTAACCCTCTCCTCTCCTGCTCTCTCCCCCTTGGTCATGGCCACTGATCCTTAGAGAAAGTCTTCATCTGGTCTAGGTTTCCATCAGAGTCAGCTCAATACCTAATTTAATCTCAATTAACTCCTATCGATCACTATGTTTCTCAGGCATACTGCTTCTGCTGCTACTGGGGAAAGGGCTACACTGATCGCAGATTGATCTATCTAGATTGGACTATTTGTTGACAGTTATCTAACATCACTGCAATAAGAGGTTTTCTTTACCACTTTGAGAAAAGGTAGATTTCCTACTTTTGCTAGTCATGTAGGTATTAGTCTTCCACACAGTGATCTGGTCCAGTTGGTGTAGCAGGGAAATGATCATCGTAGCTAAAAGTGCCTCATCATCTTCCCTGAGACCTGAAGTAACTGAATTATCTGTCACTTAAACTGAAGCTGAGCTTTGATTGATTGTTTTATTGGGACTGACAGTTGGCGTTGGGGTGCAGAGTGCAGAGTGATACTTGGGACATATGGCAGTATGCAGGGTTGGTACCTGCTAAATTGGCAGTATCAAACATCCACTTCTTTATTGTTTTTCATGATGTGTTGTGAGCTGGACTACTCTGTTCCACATTGCTCATTTAGACCAGGTTCAGTTCAGAAGGAAAGCTACTTTAGCACGGACATGCATACTGGAAACAGTCAACCATGAGCACCGAGTTCCCTCTGTGAGCTTTGCTGGATGAAAGGGCAACAGAGAGACTCTGTCATAAATGATTAATTATGGCATGCTTTTGCTTTCATCATGATAGTGTGTGGTAGACTGTCATTTTTATTTAATGGGCATGTACATGCCTGATTGTTAATTATCAACTCAAGTACCTAACAAGATCTCCTCAGTGTACAGGCAGCAGGAGTCAGCATTTCTAAGCACTATTGGGTCTGCAAACCTTTCATCACTAATTGCTATCAGCAGGTTTGATGAAAGGATGCTCATGAAAAAGCAAAGGGAAAAGTTGAGTGCAAAACTTTTGGTCGTGGGGGTGGTACAGAATGAGTCATAGATTGATTAGTTAATCAATGGAATGGCAGTTTCTAATGACAAAAGGTTCAATTGATAAATGACCATATATACACTGCTCAAAAGAATAAAGGGAACACTAAAATAACACATCCTAGATCTGAATGAATGAAATAATCGTATTAAATACTTTATTCTTTACATAGTTGAATGTGCTGACAACAAAATCACACAAAAATGATCAATGGAAATCAAATTTATCAACCCATGGAGGTCTGGATTTGGAGTCACACTCAAAATTAAAGTGGAAAACCACACTACAGGCTGATCCAACTTTGATGTAATGTCCTTAAAACAAGTCAAAATGAGGCTCAGTAGTGTGTGTGGCCTCCACGTGCCTGTATGACCTCCCTACAACGCCTGGGCATGCTCCTGATGAGGTGGCGGATGGTCTCCTGAGGGATCTCCTCCCAGGCCTGGACTAAAGCATCCGCCAACTCCTGGACAGTCTGTGGTGCAACGTGGCGTTGGTGGATGGAGCGAGACATGATGTCCCAGATGTGCTCAATTGGATTCAGGTCTGGGGAACGGGCGGGCCAGTCCATAGCATCAATGCCTTCCTCTTGCAGGAACTGCTGACACACTCCAGCCACATGAGGTCTAGCATTGTCTTGCATTAGGAGGAACCCAGGGCCAACCGCACCAGCATATGGTCTCACAAGGGGTCTGAGGATCTCATCTCGGTACCTAATGGCAGTCAGGCTACCTCTGGCGAGCACATGGAGGGCGGTGCGGCCCCCACAAAGAAATGCCACCCCACACCATGACTGACCCACCGCCAAACTGGTCATGCTGGAGGATGTTGCAGGCAGCAGAACGTTCTCCACGGCGTCTCCAGACTCTGTCACGTCTGTCACGTGCTCAGTGTGAACCTGCTTTCATTTGTGAAGAGCACAGGGCGCCAGTGGCGAATTTGCCAATCTTGGTGTTCTCTGGCAAATGCCAAACGTCCTGCACGGTGTTGGGCTGTAAGCACAACCCCCACCTGTGGACGTCGGGCCCTCATACCACCCTCATGGAGTCTGTTTCTGACCGTTTGAGCAGACACATGCACATTTGTGGCCTGCTGGAGGTCATTTTGCAGGGCTCTGGCAGTGCTCCTCCTGCTCCTCCTTGCACAAAGGCGGAGGTAGCGGTCCTGCTGCTGGGTTGTTGCCCTCCTACGGCCTCCTCCACGTCTCCTGATGTACTGGCCTGTCTCCTGGTAGCGCCTCCATGCTCTGGACACTACGCTGACAGACACAGCAAACCTTCTTGCCACAGCTCGCATTGATGTGCCATCCTGGATGAGCTGCACTACCTGAGCCACTTGTGTGGGTTGTAGACTCCGTCTCATGCTACCACTAGAGTGAAAGCACCGCCAGCATTCAAAAGTGACCAAAACATCAGCCAGGAAGCATAGGAACTGAGAAGTGGTCTGTGGTCACCACCTGCAGAACCACTCCTTTTTTGGGGGTGTCTTGCTAATTGCCTATAATTTCCACCTGTTGTCTATTCCATTTGCACAACAGCATGTGAAGTTTATTGTCAATCAGTGTTGCTTCCTAAGTGGACAGTTTGATTTCACAGAAGTGTGATTGACTTGGAGTTACATTGTGTTGTTTAAGTGTTCCCTTTATTTTTTTGAGCAGTGTAATAGCCAGTGTACTAAAACATTGTCTCACTCTTTGGTGCTCTCAGAGAGCTGTATGACATGGATTCTAATCATTATATGCATATTGTAAACAGTGTGTTATTGTCTTCATGTGAAGCATCTTGTTCGAGGCAAGCAACACTGAAGCATTCATGAGAGCACCAGCTGTTCCCGGATGACTATGTGATCACGCTCTCCGTAGCCGATGTGAGTAAGACTTTTAAGCAGGTCAACATTCACAAGGCCGCAGGGCCAGACGGATTACCAGGACGTGTACTCCGAGCATGTGCTGACCAACTGGCAAGTGTCTTCACTGACATTTTCAACATGTCCCTGACTGAGTCTTTAATACCAACATGTTTCAAGCAGACCACCATAGTCCCCGTGCCCAAGGACACTAAGATAACCTGCCTAAATGACTACTGACCCGTAGCACTGACGTCTGTAGCCATGAAGTGCTTTG